GGGGAGAAAATGCCTATGGCTAAACTGTATGAATGTTATACTAGGACCCCTACAAAAAAAAATATCCACAAACTTCTCGTTTCTTATTATGCAACATCTGATGTGAAGTCCATCCAAAGGATATTCTGATGAAATAGGAAATTTCTGTTGAAATTCCAATAAGTGAAGTCCCACACAGAGATTTATAGATCCTGTGAAAGAGGTACCCCTCTATTATCTCTGTTAACTATTTATTTTGTTAAAATACAGACGCAAAGTCTTTTAAATTTGTCAGCTGTGTCAAATAACACATTTTGCTTGCTTAAATACTTCAGAACAAGCTTATGAAAAGTACTTTTTTTTTGGCTAAGCTTATTTGAAGTTCATATAAATCCCACAGAGCCCTATGGATAATTTTCCTGTAGTAATCTTTGGATTTATAATCCATGGTTTTCTTTGCAACAGCTTCTCCCACTAAAGGCAAGTTTAGGAAAAAGTTTCTCTTATCCATATAGTAAATCTGTATATTCTTTAAAATTCTACTGTATGTGGACCTCATCAGCCCAGGGTCCAGTAAGGAGACTCTCCGTTTCCTTCTAAGAGGATTCTGAGTGTGAAGTGTTGGATCTGAGTGAGAAAGACTTGCGTTAAGTAAGCAGCAAATTGTGGTTAAACAAGGGTTTGATCTACAAGAAGTGTAGTCTTTGCAAGATGAGGCTTAGAAAATCAGGAGATAGGAAATAACATTGTTAGCTGATGACAAAGGAAGTAAATTACTGAGTGCTGTCATACTCCCTCATGAAAACAACAGGAAGGATTTACTAATTTGGCCTGGACTTTGAAGGTGAATTGAGGAACTTGCTTTAAAAAAACGTACAAGCCATCGAAATCCCCTGTCTTCAGAGAATATATGACTTTTTCCTATCCTCCTAGTTCGTTCTGAGAAGCAAAGCTAAAATGCACTCACTGAAACTGTTTTTTTAGGTCAGACGCTTTATATTCTAACACTATAGCTTTCCAAATTATTTAGGAGCCCAAACATTTCTTTTCCCTGGGATTTTGGTCACATAGTCGAACAGAGAACATGAAACCCATTTTGAAGCTTGTTGCTCTTTCAGGTGTTTGTTCATGGGGAAATGCAGACAACTCAGATCCGAAACGCTAGCAGCGAAAAAGGAAGCGGTAGGCTATGTAAATGTTAGTCATTTCAGCCTGTGTATGCAGTTTGAGCTAGAGATTTTTTTTCTTTACATTGTCTAGGTAAACCACCAGGACACCGGCTTTTTATGTCTGAGGTGATATCTACTGGAGGAGGAGGAAGAATATTGCTTTAGACTGCACCATATTTAAAAATAAGAACCCTTTCTAAAAAAAGGCAGATTACTAAGGCTGTCATTTGCTTTAATACTTCAGATACTAGTTTGGACAGCTATGTGCTTTTTCCTGTACGCTTGTCTACTTTATGCTAGAGTTAGATAATGATTATGTGCTTTGGCATCAAGTCAGTGAGGTCACTTTAAGTAACCCAAAGTTACTTCTGGAAGTATGAACTGCAAATGTGAAGTCTTAATAATATAAGTAAACAAGGCCAAAATAGAAAAAAAAGTATTGGAACATGTATTTGATAGAATCAAAAGCATCTGCAGAGTCATTCTTGAGACAAGTAATATGTAAATGAAGTATGCTTTTGAAAATATACCTGCATTTGAAAATTTTAATAAATGCTACACTATTTCTGATTTTTGTGCGTGGTTCTGGATGCCTTTCAGATCTATAAAACTACAACGCCTTTTAACGTTGTTACTCACAGGAACGTTACTTGCCTCTAAAGTAAAAGGAAATTAACAACTTTTTGCACCTTTAGGCAAAAACAGAAGAGAGGGGGCAGTCAGGGATTTACAGGAAAGCAATCCATATGTGCCCCTATCCCCAAGATCTGTGGCATTTCCATAGCTCAGTAATCTGGAGGGAGTAAATAAGTAGATGGTTTCTCATTATTTATTATGTAAAGCTTGAGAATGATAGTCTCAAACATGCAGTATCTTTAGTGATTTTAAATTTTAGAAATGCCATACTACTTTGTTAGCTAATATTCTTGTAGTAGAAAACAGCAATCATATGCAAGTATTAATTTCAGCTAATTTCAGATCATTTCTTTGTTCTCTCTACCACCCCAGAAAGTATGTTGGCTCTGGTAGACAACCCATTTTTCAATGAACAGTAGGAACCAATTTAGTCAAATTTAACTGCAACAATTTCACAGGTCAATTAAATTATAACAGTAAAATATCAGTCAAATACCTTCAAGGTTTTTTGGTGGTTGTGTTCACTGAAATGGTAGAATGAATATTGGCCTACTCAACAGTTAACTAAAACGTGTGGTGACCAGGCAACCATGGTATGCAATGACAGCGTTTCGCATTATTTTCTTCCTTTAATATCAATGGTGCTTCCTATCTTAGGGAGGCAATTTATGCAAGGAAGTCAGTATTTGTATCTAGATGTTTTACTATGACTATTTTGGGCTTTCCTTTCTTGAAAATCAGATCCAAAATCAGTCAATTCATAAGCAAACAACCCTCTTCTAATTGAAATGTTTGCAATGTGATGAGTGACAGTGTACTTCTTATTGATACATTCATTAACAATAGAGAAATCTTTGCGACAGATGAAAAGATAACAATTTTATGTCTGACAGCCTGTTTTTACACACAGCTTTTGTATTGCTACAATGGTGATGTATAGAGAAGTGATTCCCTTTTACTGATATAACCAGTTGTGGTACAACCACATAATTGTTATATGAAATTACTAATTCAAGCATAACTCATTGCCCTTCCTGCTAGTACAGTTACTCCATTTGAGATGTATTTTCTCTCTTACAACTGTAGCTGTTTAACTGTGTCAGTCTAGTTAAACCATACAACTTCTGGGTTAAGGCAGAGTGGGAAAACCAGTAGTGTCTTGCTGTTTCATAGCTGTGTCACCTCTGCTCCTTGAGCGGAGTGGAAAAGTGTAAATTACAAATCACTGTTGATCAGTAAAGTGAACGAATACCACACTGCATTACCAGATCTGCTGAGTGAGAAGATGCCATATTTACAACAATTTTTAAAATGCCTTACTGTGTTTTACAGTATTTCAGCTGGAAGCCACGTTCTTCCTAAGCTTTCATGCCATCCTACCTCTGGCGCAACTTTCCAGCCTTGTGTGTCAATAGCATGAAGGGGAACAGGTCAATCCCCTCACCACACACATCGCTACAATCCGTGCAAATTGTCAGCCTGCACGCAGGTCATCAGCCACGTCATCGGGGAGGTGAGCTCCAGAGCTGGTTTGCATCCTCCGCTTCTCCTGCGTTTGTGCTGGTTTGTGTGCCTGTGCGAGCGCTTGGTTACAGTCACCAGGGTAGTGACTCATCTGTCTGAGAAAGTTGTGGTCCGACGGGATGGTGCAACCACACCCCAAATGCCAACTGAAACACCATTCGTAATATACTGATCAGCTGTTTGAAAACCCTGCGGGACCTGGGATTGCCGATGGAGACGTCCCAGGAAGGTGGTAAGAGGTCTCAGCTCTCCTGGCACCTCCTCAGTAGCAAAGCTG